ATCGCCTTCTCCATTAACAGAATTTAACCTTTTATTGTTTCATTTTAATTCATTAATTAATTACTTCATTTATTCATTCGTTTAAAACGCTTTTATAGCATGTGTGATGTGCCAGGTATTCTTCTAAGCCCTTTACAACATTAATCTATTAAATCTTTATCACAATCCTACAAGGCAGGTCCTATTGATATCCACATTTTGCAGATGAGGAAGCTGAGGCTCTGGGCAGTTGAGTATCTCACCCATGACCATGCAGCTAGTAAGTGAGTTGGTCAAACTTTTTGTGTGTGTATAGACAGTTACCGAAAGGAGTCTAGAGAAAAACAAATCTAGGGGAAAGAATTCCATCTAACGTTTAGAAAATCTTGACTGAACATCAGAATAGACCGTTAGAAAGTTCAGTTGCTGGAATAAATCTCCGAAGACAAAGACTGCACTTAGCAGACCTTTGCTGAGAGTATTCTACCCTTAAAAGAAAAGTTGCCTTTCTGATGTTAGCATTTTTTCCAGCACAGTTCTACTTTATTTTGTTTTGTTTTATTTTATTTATTCTGAGGTCAGTAGGTGCACATTGTTTTACCTTTTTTTTTCTCCAAAGAAAGACATTATTCCTGTAGATGTTTCATTTTCAGTGATTCACTTGTTCTCACTCACCTACATTCCCACAGCAGTAAAACAAAAGCAAGGCTCAAACAGCTAATCTTCTGTGCTCAGTGATATAAGCCAGACAGATGATTATTTCAGAGTTCATATTTTCTCTAGGGTTTGTAGACCTCTCCTCTTCCCATCGGACTCTTAGGAATGTCTTCTCGCCTTTCCTTAAAACCTGCTGCTGGGGCCAGGTTGGAGCTTGCCCTCTAACCTGGCACGGTGCCACGTTGGTATTGACTTCTGATCTGTCTTCTGACACACATGCCACGGAGACCTGAGAAAGCAGAACAGCTATTCATTAGACTGTGATCTAGGTATGAGGTGGCATGGGGAGTGCAAAGAAGTCAAGTGTCAGAAAGACGTGGCTTCTCATCTAGGCTCCCCGCTTTACTCCCAGGATAATTCTGGGCAAACCATTCAAATTCTCTGAGACTGTGTCCTCATCTCCAAAATAATAGGAACAAAGCCAGCGTAGAGACTTTGAGCTTGTTTTGAGATTAAGATAATGCATTTGAAATTGTCTTGGAAATCTTAAACGATTACACAGATAGAGGTATTATTATTATTACCACTCAGTAATATAAAACACCTAGATAGGTTCATCAGCTTTAGCGCTAATGATACCCTGAGGCATTAATAGAGGCAATTCTTCGCCTTTGCCTTTCCCCTCAGCACCTTTCTAATAAGAAGTGCTTCAGACATGAGAAATGTGGCTTAATGAAAACTGAGATGTGGGGGTAGCCTTAATGAAGAATTTAATAACAGCTGATTGATTTAGTGACAAAGGGAAATTGCTTGTTGTGCTGTTCAATGTGATGCCCAGATGCCAGTTTTTCCTTGTCAAGCTGAAAGAAAAGGTTGGGGAATGGGAAGGAAATGACCTGTTTGTGATTTAGGTTGCTCTTTGCAAGGATTGTAAGTTGTAGAGGATGCCACTCTGTAAGCCCCAGGACAGCACAGGTCAGTCAGCACCCCCGATCCTTGCATGGCCAGAGGCAGGAGAACAAGCTTCCCTGCTCTTGACTGTAGGAGATACAGGTGTTCGTCTTCTCCATACGGTTTTTACATATTATCGCAGCTCTGCTGTCTTTCAAGAGCAATGGTCTATATAGTCTGGCGTCCCAGTTGTAAAATCCCTTACTGGTGTTATTATTTCTTCTTACTACCTGCTATGCATCATCCTCTCCAAGTTGATTTCAGATGCAGGCTTTACTTAATGCTGTTTTGAGAAGCACAATCAAGAGTCAGGAGCTGCATTAATGTGCTAGTTTGTTATTTATGGCTTTCTTCCAACATACAAGGGAAGACTAGCAATGGTGGAGCTCCTACAGTTGGGAGATAAACCTCAAACACAAGCATACTTATTGTAGTGGCCTCAGGTTTGTAGATTATAACAGTGAAAAATAATTTCAAAGAGAAGAATGAAAGTAGGATTCGGAAGATATAAAATTAATAAAATCCTCCATTTCTTTGGAAGATATTTGACAGACTTTGGCAAGATCTCATGTAATAATGTGCTGCTTATGAAGAGCCTGCTGAGCTGCTAATGGTAGTAACGTGACATGTTTGACAACAGAGGACTGGAGTGTCAAGAGTGGTTTTGACCTGCCCTTTGAATGCAGTTAGCTAAGATGTTTTAATGTTTCTTTTCTTCAATTTGGACATCAAAATGATTTATATAAGGATCATTTGATTCTCCTTTTGAAGAAAGATAAATTTAAAAACTTGGTGAAATTTGCTCTTGAAAACTTGGCAAACCTGCTTTTCTTCATCGCTGATCATGGGATTTGCCTTATTATATTTCCTTGGGAATAATGATAATGTCTGTAAATTTTTCTCTTGATTTGGCCTCAGTTTTGGAAAACCATACTTAAAATGTTTTATTTAAAACAAATTGCCTCTTGATGTCTGCCTTTACTGGTGCTATGGTTTATTCTCACTGGATATAATACATCAGCCTTCCAAAGCTGATTTCAGATTCAAGTTTTACTTAATGCCATTTTGGTATTATTAATGCTATTTGGTGTTCCTATAGGTAACATAAGAATAATCATAATGGGGAGAAATTCTAAATTGGGCTTTTCTAATTAAGAATTAGAAAAATTATTATTATGAATTTCAGGAATTAAAATGAGTATTTTTTTAAATAGGTCTCCAAATTTAAACCAGAAATATAGCCTTCCTCCTCCATCTTTCCAGTCTGTGTAGGTTTATAGGCTTTTTGTCATAACACTGTGTTAGGCTATTACATTCATAGAGGAGATAGGCCAGCCATGGAGTGACAAATAAGGTATTCAACCATACATATTTTACAGATTTAAAGACAAATAGGTAATAGAACTCTACACAAAATTTTATTATCTTATGTATTCAGGAAGTATTTTGGGATGCCACATCTTTATGCCTGTAAGATAGGCTATATACCTTCCAAAGGTTTAAAAATAATCTCTTGATCCTTGCCTTTTATAAGAGTGATAAGCTATCTAAAGATCATCATTCATTTTTAAGTATAATATACAAATAACCTTCAGTTCTGATTATATCCTGCTTAGTACACTATGTCTATGGTTACCATTACAATAAAAAGAATGCTCTGTATCTATTCCAACCAACATTTACTGAGCATTTGCTGTATACCTAACACTGTGGAATTGCTTTCCCCTGAATTGTGTCTTTAACTTGCCTCCCCTGCCCCCCACGGCCAGTGAGATCGAGTAAGCTAATCATAGGTACTTCCATTTTTTTCATATAACGGAACTGAGCCTCAGAATTATAGATCAATGGCATGTCCAGGACCACACTGCTAATGAAGGACAGGGAAGAGATTCCATCTTGAAGTCTTCTGACACCGTGCTGTAGGCTTGAGTAATGCTGGGATCCCAAAGGATTCTATTCCAAACTACTGATTTTACAGATGAGGAAATGAGACCCAGAGCAAGTGAAAAATCACCTGAAGTTCCTTTCTGGACTACTATGCTTTCTCCATTCGCCTCCAAATGTTTCTAGAAGTGAAAAATAGAACTACTCCCTCATATGTACTCACTACCTCATACTATCTTCATCGAAGGGATTTCTATCCCTAATCCACCAGCCCTCACCATCCCACCTGTTTCCTGAGATCAACATTTCTTTCTCTAGCTTTTCCTAGTGTCTCCACCTGAATATCTGAGGGCAAAAAACTTGAAATGTTAACATTTTCATAAATTTGGTGATTCCTCTTGAAATGCTGGGATTCCCTTCTTGAATAACTATTTCATTTTCTTCTCAGCTCTGACTACATTACCTCCTTCACTTACTTAAACTTGGGATCTGTGTGTTTTTGACTTTGGAATTTTCCCCCTTGAGCTTTCTCTTCAGTTTAGGATCTACTTTTTCAGATGTTTACTTGATATTATCTTTCTGGGTGTACTACATACTTCTCACCAACACTACAATGGGCTTTATTCCAAACTCTACATTTCCAGATCCTCCAACAGTATCCTCTTCTTGCATTATTGATTTTGATGAAAGATTTTACCATTTACTCAGGCTCTGAAGCTAGAAAATCTTTGTGTCATCTTTTACTCTTCCTTCAATCTTAGTCTCTGTGTCTAATTATTACATTTTAACAAATTCACCTCTAAAATACTTCTCAAATTTGGCTTTTTTTTTCTTTGCTCTTCATTCTGTTGCCTTCGCTGAGGCAGTATCTTACTCTGTAATTAGTGCCTTGGCGCTCTAGTCTACTCCCATTCTACAGAAACGTAAAGAGCATTCATTGGGTTCCTACAATGTGCCAGGCGCTGTGGTAAGGTGCAAGGCTGAAGAAGATAAAGACTCAATCCTGTATCCTTCTTTCCTTCATTGCATCTTTATGATATTAACTCCATATGAGTGATTAAAATCTGCTGATATTTTTAACCATAGCTGTTTACCCTAGTGTTCTTGTTTATTGGTGAAACTCCTTCAAATCTCATTCTCAAGTTTTCCAAATGTGAAGGTGTGAAATGTCAGTATTACTGAGGGCATTCTTGAACTACTTCAAAAAATACCATGCCTAGTTTTCAGGATAGTTGAGATGAGATTTTAGAAAATCATAGGAAGGCCTGGAGGTAAAGGAAATGGTTGTAAAATATGAAAACAAAATATTTTCAAAAGCATTTTAGTTTGTTTTGGGAGAATACATGTTAAATTCTAATATGTCCCTAGAGTGCAGCAAATAAATTTCCTCTTGGAAAAAGATTTCTAAACAAAATTATCTTCAGACTCCTGAGGTATTTTAAAAGGAATTTTCAGTATGCTAAACACTTTCTACAGCTTTGCCGAAAGTGATTGTTAGATTTAATACGGTCCATTTCTGTTGCTGATAGGTACACACTGGTGGATATTTTGCGTGCCATCTTACTTTCTTTAGAAGCCATGATTGAAGATCCTGAGCTTCAAGTGAATGGATTTGTTTTGATCATAGACTGGAGTAACTTCACCTTCAAGCAAGCCTCCAAACTTACACCAAGCATGCTGCGATTGGCTATTGAAGGCCTTCAGGTAAAAATTGACAAATTACCCAGTTTCTCAGTCTTTCGTGTTTGACTTCTCTTATCTAATGTGTTAGAATGACAAAATGTCTTACTTAAAGAATAATAAAAACATTTTTTTAAAATAGTGTTTTAGCACTAACACTAAAACACTAACTGGACAAAGGATTATAGAAGAAAAGTTGAAAGATATGGACCTTTTAATAGATGGGGTTTGTAGTACTAGGTACAAACCTCACTATGTCTAAGCATAAATGTGGGTGATGACCTGAGATTTTTATCATGATAATCAGAACAAAGAGCACGTTTTGGATTTTATTAGCTATTTAGGTTTTTTTGTTTTGTTTCTCTTTTTTTTCTGTGTATATTAATTATTAGCTAAATATTTGTTTTACTATTCCATTTAACCTCCTGAAATAGGGATATGATCATTAATATCTTCATGTTGCCCAAAAAGCTGTTAGGAAAGCAATCAATCAATATGTATTTTGATATCTAAGATTTGGAATCACTGTTTTGAATTACTTCTCTAGACTTAATTCAGGTTTTTGTTGTTGTTTTGGTGGAAGGGCCATCACATGGAGTTTACATAGGAATGGTGCTTCTTCCAGTGAATGACTCTTACCTGGTTGGGAACTATAAAGTGGAAAATCGATTATTAATTAGTGACATGTCATAAACCTACTTTTTAAGTTTTAGGATGTCCTCCCACTTTCTGTGGTTTGCTTTACAGTACTTTGTATATAATACTTATGGAATAAATCTTAAATTCTTTAACAAATTTGCAAATTAACTCTTGAGTGGTATTAGTTACTATTCTCTGTATATTCAACATGCATCTTAGAAGTTTGCAAGTCAACAGTTAATTTTTGTAACTTTTACCGCTGAAAATATCACCTGTTTTAAAATGACTAATTATATCTTTGTCATTCATTAGGCCAGAATGCTAGACTTTATTTTTTCATGTTGAATAACCAAAATTATCCAGATCTCTGTTCCATAGTAATTTCTGACTGTGTCTGTAGGCACTTAAATTGATGGCTGATGACTCACTAAAAATGGTCCATTTCTCCAGGCAGCAGGACATCTTAACCAAATTGAATTCACAGTTTGGATTTTGCCTCTGAAGTGAATAAGGCACACTGATCTTTTTCTCTGCATAGCTTTTTCCTGATGCAGGTTTCCTGACTTGCTCTGGGTGAGTCAGCGGGAGTCAGCGGTGCTCCTGTCTTATCTTAAACAACATCTTTTGTAAAACTCCATAGAGACAGTTAATATGGGTTGAGAGAGGACACAGGATAAGCATGTTCGGAAATGCATTTTTCATGTGGAATCAGTCCTAATTCTGCACTATTGCCAGCAGTGTGTAAAGTGTCCTTCACTTTATAAAGAAAATTGGTTACCACAACCATGTTACTTAGCATAGAATGGTAATCTAGCCTTTCATAATTATTTTTTTCTTTTTTTTTAAGTTTAACTTGTCATCTTTTTGCAAGATGGATAGGCGAGGCCTTCAGCTACAGGAAGAACTGGAGAACTCATATTATTCGTAGAAATTGAAAAAAAACACCTCAAGAATAGACTCAGTATCTTGCTATTTGCCAACTTACATACTTTATGGAGTCATGCAATAGTAGTGCTGTAAGTCAGTCCAGGAGGGAGAACTGACAACCGGGACATGTTTGGGAGCTTCCCCATTAGCCATGCCACAGTCCGAATTTCTTTAAGTGCTAAGTTTCAGCAAGATAGGAACTACAGTCAATTTAAATCTCTGTGTTTATGTTGGAGAGAGAGGGATCCCCTACTCAGGCGGGGACCTGTGCTGGCTGCCTTGTTTCTTTCTATTCCCCATGAAGGTTTCAGTCCCCTTTCCTTTCTCCCAGGACCCAGACTGAGGAAGCAGGGTTGATTTCCCCCAGTTGCCAAGTGGGAAGCCACTTAAAAGAAAGGAAGTCTTTATGGGGAATAAATTTGACATGTCAGTAACCTTTATTTTATTTTTAAAAAAGATTTTGTTTATTTATTTGAGAGAGAAAGAGAGAGAGACAGAGCATGAGCTGGGGGGGTGGGCGGAGGGAGGAGGAGAAAGAAGGAGAGGGAGAAGCAGACTCCCCACTGAGCAGGGACCCCCCCTGACACAGGACTCGATCCCAGGACCTTGAGACCATGACCTGAGCTGAAGGCAGATGTTTAACCAACTGAGCCACCCAGGGCCCCTGTTATTAACCTTTAAACTCAGTTTTTCTCCAGTTTGGATTGATTTTTAAATGCTCTGTATCTATGTGTCTATGTCTATATCTAGATTAAAAAAATAGTAATTCCAAATAAGAATAGAAGATGTGCTAAAAACGTTCCATTCATTGAGACAAGCATGATTTCCTAGTTTGTCTTCTACTGAAGTAACATTTTGACTTTTCTAATTATTCCTCTGTTTTACTTTGCATAAGCTCTGTGAGAAACATTGTTGCCTTGATCCATGTTTCATGCAAAGCATCAATAAACTTTTTTTGAGAACATAAGACCAAGAAAATGTTTGAAGTAAGATATGTACACAATTTTACGTTGCTAAACACAACTACTACCATCACCAAGACTACCAATACTACCACAATAGTAAACACCTTCCAATGAACCCAGTCAGGGAAATTAAGAGATGAGGATATCTTTAATAACTTAGTGATAATTTATATCATTCTGTAATCTTGCTATAATATGTTACTTTTATTCAGGCAAACATAAAAAAATACTCTAAGGAGTTGAAGTAAAAATAAGAAAGGTCATCAATGGGTCTAGTGCCAGGAAGAAAACTTACTTTAATGATATATATTATTAATGGGATGATGCAACTGTGCTTTGAAGAGGCCCCATCTCTTTTCTTCTTTAGGTATAACCTATCTAAATGCACACATCAACCCCCTTTTTCTCAAGCAAGAGTATTTTGAGTGACCTGGCTAGAGATAGCACCTGAAACCTGGGAGAAAGACACATAGACCATTGCTTTTAAGACCTACTTATGATCAAAGTGCAAGGTCAATAGAGATAATGTGGAAGAGTGGAAATAGAATAGGCTTTAGAGGCTGATAGGCCTGGGTTTGGATGACAAGCCTGCTACATACTAAATACTCGGGCAAATTACTTACCTTGTTTGAATCTCAGTCTATTCATTTATACCAATTTTATAGTATTAAATTAGAAATGATACATCTTGTACCTAACAGGTGATGGCCATGCTCAAAATAATTGATGTGGATAAGCTTATTTGGCAGATGACATATTTTTCTGCATATGTGCTGGTTTTCTCACAATTCAGTGACAACTTAGACTATTTAGACTAGATCGACTTTGGGATCTGAATAACATGATCTTTTGCTTTTAGTGCTTAGGTTATCAGTACACAGATTGCATTTTTTTTTTTTTTATCACTTCACTGTGTGGTTAAGGAGAGTCTAGATATTTTCATGTTAGGTGCCAAATAAAATATTTTTTCATGGTGGAAACCAAATGAAAAATGAGATTGTTTCACCTAGTGAAAATTAATCTTTGTTTTCTTGGGGAGAAACTCCAGGCACAGTTGGAAAGGTGGTGACTGTGGGGATATCCTTGGTCTGGAAGGATGAGCAAGAGTTTGCTAAGTGGACAAGGACAGGAAGAACATTTTGGACAGGAGAACTTTGGGGAGGTGCTTTGAACAAACATACAGCTGTAAAGCGTTAAAGTTACATGATAAATCTGTTTTGAGGTGGCTAGACCGAGACGTGAATTGAGGCAAATGACCAGAGATGAGCCAAGAAAGGCTGGCTGAGAACTGTTTCAATAGGATGGAGGATGGCATTCTATGTGATTTGGCCTGTGTTCTCCATACATGGGGAGGTTTGGGACAAGCAAGTGACCTGATCACTCCTTTGCTTTGAAAAGATCTCTTCAGTAGAAGAAAGGACTTGGATAGAAGGATGGAGAAGTTAGATTTAGAGAGCCCCCATACTACCATGGAGTAACTATATTGATCTCATTTTGTAGGACAGAAAATGAAACTTCAGGATGTTTAGGAGAGTTAACCAAATTTTCTCAAATGACATAAAGGCTTGAGTCCAGGTTGTCTGACTCCAAAGACCAGTGTCTCTCTTGAATCTTGTTTCTATTGTTTCCAGGGCTGTGTTTAAGAAAAAGCGAGTAGGCTCAGATTATAGTAACTTCGCTCCCCATGCCAAATCCTCACGCTATACTACAAGTGAAATTTGTTTCTGGGATAGGGAATACAATTCTAACTAAAGAAGTCACAATGGCTGACCTATGGCAGAACGATATTCTTCTTCCCAGTGAAAATCCTCCTTGAGTAATTGCCAGTCTCTCAGTTCCCTGTGATAAAGGCCAAGTGAAAGGCACTTTTCCGTAGCCAAAGAGAACTTTTATCAACACAACCACAGATTGATAAGCCACTCATGATATTGGTCCAAGGCAATTCTGTATGCTTTCTCCATGCAGAATCTGTAAACACATTTTTAAACGAAAGGCCTCAAACATTTTTACCAACATAATGTAGTTCCTTGATAGATAAAAGGCAACAACAGATATTTTTGTGGAAATAAATTATTCAGACTTCATTGGAAAGAAACAAGAAAGAAAATTATCTTGCTACTAATAAGAAGTTAATTGATTGGGGTAGTCATAGTAACAGGAAGCATCTTAGAAAATCAATACAAAATTAAGTGGATGTGACTTGTAGCCCTGGGAAGCCAATTAAAACATGAAATGTTTGGAAATACCTGGAACAGCTAAGACTGTTTGAATTTACAGTGAAAGGACATTCTTTTTAATACTTCTTGTCCTTGTTCTATTTTTATTTTTTTCTCATAAAATATGACCATTCTTAAAATTCTTTAGTAATGAAAAACTCAAACTCTTTTATGAATCCAGAATCTCTCATTTGTCATTTTTTTTAACTTAATACTAATGCTACCTGTGCTGTTCATTGTTCTTCGGATATATTTATCTGTTTTTCCCTCTTAGCTC